AAAAATCAGGCTTAATCGACCATTTTCGTATGCTAAACGGATTTCTTTCTTGGACTTTTTTTTAACAGAAAAAAGGTAAATATTTATTGTCAAAATTAATTATACTTCAGAATTATTAAAGATCATAATTAGTGCACTTAGAATTTAGAAAAATTTTTTTATATCCCGAACGGGATATAAAAAAAATTTTGCTGCAAAAAATGATATCCCGATTGGGAGTACATCCCGATCGGGATATGTCTCCACACTGCCAGAAACTTCAATGTTCATGTTTTTCTGTTACGTTCTTTCTTTCTTTCTCGCCTATACACAAGCATATACTGTACTAGAGGAGTGCCTTCGCTTTCTGAATAAAACATTTGTACATACAGGTAAAGATTCGAACAAGTCAGATGGAGCCAAAAATTGGCTATAAGAAAAAAGTCACTATGTTACTACTTTAATATTTGAAAAACTATGCTCATTTTTCAACGATTCTCTATAGCCACTACTTTTGATAAGGATTTTAAACATTGTTTTGCTTACGAAAAGATTTCCCGTAGTAATTACAATTCGTTATCTGTTTTCGTTCAACAGTTATAAAAAATGAGTAATGAAATTGTCTTACTGGACAAACACCAGCATGCACATGTCATACTTCTTGTAATAAAAAGTACATATATCCGCGTAATACAAATAAACTATACAACGTCACAAGTTTAGTGAGAATAATAGCGACATTTGTTCAAAGTGCATATTACAGCTGTTTGAAATATTTTTCTAATGCAAATACAACGAACACCGGAATAAAAAATACTCTACAGGCAACGCAAAATTGCTTTTATTTTTACTCGTTCTGAATGTCTATAAAGTTAAAAGTTAAAATTTTCTGTCAGACATACATAAAATGACTGTTTTCTGTTCTGACAGTGAAAACATAGGATAGAACAGCAGTATAAGGAGTATTTTGAATGAACTCGTTAAGCATGTATCAGCATTTGACACATTTTCTAAGAAAATTTCTGTTATCCATTTTAATGACAGGTCTAATGTTCTATACCAAAATTATACGTAGAATACTACTCTATACTGTAGCACACATCGAATTTGAACGTCAAATACTTTCTTAATATCGTTTAGTTTTAAAAAAGGACTGACTATCACTGAATAAATTTATAATAAATAAAATTTTTCATAAAAATCCTAGCAACATGAAAATTCTTTTGTTTGCGTGGAATACGAAGGCCATATAGTGATGGATTTATCAACTGGTTTTAATGATTCTGGTCCAGGTTGTTTATAGTTTTGATAAATATTTTGTATAAGTTGAAGAAAAGCTTGTTCAACGTTTGTCGAACTCAAAGCAGATGTTTCTATATAATTAATATTTCGTTCTTCTGCAAATCTTCTTGCATCATCAGGCATTACTGCTCGGATATGACGTTGATCAGATTTATTTCCAACGAGGATGATTATACAATCATTGCCCGAATGTGTACGAATTTCATTGTACCATCGATCTAAATTTTGAAATGTTTGAGGACTTTGAATATCAAATACAAGTAATGCACCCATGGCATTACGATAATACAAATGTGTTATTGCCTTAAACCGTTCTTGTCCAGCTGAAAATAGAAATAAAGATAAATTGTTGTTTATTTTCATAGAATAATATTCTTAAATTACCTGTATCCCATATCTGAGCACGAACAGTGTCCTTATTGATTTGTACTTCTTTTGTTGAGAATTCAACACCAATTGTTGCTGCAGTTCCCAAAGAAAATTCATTTTTTGTAAATCGTGATAATAATTGACTTTTACCTACACCTGAATCACCGGTCAAAACAATTTTGAATATGTGTGTATATTTTCGATCTTGTTCAGTTGTTAATGAAGACATTCTATAGTTAAAGATATCACAATATTAAATTTCTGTTTGCAATTTATTCAAATTGCTTATATTTATAGGTATTTCTAATATTTTACACGTACACACAAATGATAGTGCTGCTGACTCATTCAGATATGTGTGACTCATTATACCTGTATGTAAAAAAGGATGTATTTGTCAATGACATAATCTTATTGAAATAAATTGCTCATTTTTCATTTTAACAAATAAATATTTTATATTTTTTACCTGCCTTGTGTATGAAAAGGGTAAATAGTCTGACGTTTTTTACGTTACAATCGAAAATGCGTAAGTGGATAAAATAAATATTAGAGAGTGACTCAGCAGTTGAATGAGTCAGTCATTATTTCGCAGTTTTTTCTCAAGCTTTTTATATCGCCTTTCAGAAGGTGTAGTCACAACTAAGAACTGAATAGAACAAATTTGAGCTTGAAAATGATGATGAATATGCCAAAAAAATGAAGCATTTTTTTCGTATTTTGAAAAAAAGAATTGGCAAATCGAAAATTTTAACATGAGAAACATCTGTCAAATATAACATTCAATCCAATTTTTAGTAGACTACGGATCTAATAGTTATTTTGAAAGAAGAATAATTAAAAAACCTATAAGTCTTTGATATGCATCTAAAGTGACTAGGTCTCTAGCGAGATTTTTTCAAAGGCTAAAGTTTGATCTTCAAATTATTTGTCAGAGATAGTGCTGAGTCCTGTTACTCGAAATACAGCGAGGGCCATGTGTCGTTGTCGAAAGAGAAGCATTTTTTGAATATTTCTCATACTTTGATATTACTACTGACTAGAAAATTTGGTAAAAAGAACTGTGTGATATTGGTATCCATTTTTGTCAAATATGAACACTGACCACCTGACTCCCAAAAGTGCGCCTGTAACTCAAACTTTATAACTGATAATTTTTTATATGGGAAAAATGTGTTTTGATCACCAAATCAATTAAAGAAAACATATACAAGAAGAATATATACCAATTTAATACCAAATTGATTAGTGAACAGATAACAAAATGAATATAAAGAAAAAATATATAAGAAGAATATATATGCAACAAGAAATATGAGCAGAACAGAAAAAGCTAACTTTATGGCAACAAGGCTGTAAGAACTTTTTCCGATGATCTTCACTTTTTCACACATGTATAGTATTCGAGAATTCCATGACTTCACGATTCGAGGATCCCACAGTTATACCATTCGAGAATTCTAGAATTGAGGTATTCTATAGAGAGACAAGCACTGCCTTTTCGTTTTTTTCATAAAGATTCGAACAACGGAGGGCGGGGGAGGTGCTGCGGGTAGTGAGAGTGAGTAACAAAACAACATTCAACTTACCAGGTCTCAGTTTTTAATCTAATTTCGTTTGGCTCTCACACATTTGACACTGATTGTTCTTTTGTATAACTTAGTTTTTGCGAGCCGTCTAGCTAGGTATCACTATTTCAAGTTTGTTTTCTCTACAAAATAATATCATTGGTATCGAATACTAAAATTTATATTTATGAAATCATGAAATTCTCGAATACTATAAAAGTGTGAAAAAGTAAAGGTCATTGGAAAAAAGTTATTACAACCTTGTTGCCATAAAGATAGATTTTTTCTGTTCTGCTCATATTTCTTGTTGCGTATATATTCTTCTGGTATCACCTCAGTTTGTCTCAGATATCTATACTCTGAACCTATGCCTCAAAATAAATAAAGTGTTGTACCATCGAACAGTTTAGACGGTGACGGTGGGTATTGTAGACAACTACTAGATGCGCGTACGTGGTAAAATGTGCCGTGTTAGTCACTACTATCACAAACTTAAATCTAAATAAGTTAAACTGTCTTGTTCATCGCAATGTTAATTTTCACTTCTACTGAAAAAGACAAGCCAGTTTTGAATCATAATGGGTATCAATATACCAAAAAACGAGCAAACAAAACAAATAATCAATGACGGTGTCGGAACCGAACATGTTCAAGTACAAGATCATTATGTACAGACGATGTGAGCATTTTATGGAATGAATCAGCACATACATGCAGACCAGATACTGCCACAGTCGTCCTTGATATTGCTATTATTTATTATATATATATATTTATCACCGTACACAAGAGGTACGGACAATTGTATTAAAGCTAATTAGGTGTAAACTAATATGGGACGAATTGACAGAGAAATATTGATGGGACAAACTGAGAAAAAAAGCTTCATGGGACGAATTGAGAAGTCAATTTGGGATGAAGTGAGAGTAAACCATTCTTCTTATATATATTTTCTTTATGTTCATTTTATTGTCTATCCACTAATTAATTTGGTATTCAATTTGGTATATATTCTTTTTGTATATGTTTTCTTTAATTTAAATTTTCTTTAATTGATTTGGTGCTCAAAAGTCTTATTTTTTGGTGATCATTTCGTAACGAATAAATTTGGTGATAAAAAAATTTGATACCATTTTTATACTGACTTTTATATTTTTTGTTTTAGACAGATATCGAAGATTCTAGAAAAAGTCAACTGATATGTTTGAAGGAGAAAAGGATGCACTTTTTCTTCAAAGTATGAATTATGATCTTATGAGCTGATTGATAAAGGAGTAACTAAGTGAAATTTCACGTATTTTACTTAAACAATTACGGTTTTATATGCTGTTCACTCAATAGATATAATAATTTACCCATTATTATCCATTTTACATTGTTTCACACATTTTTATTAGGGAATGATGCTAAATAACATAAAGTCTAATGTGAAAACTTTTGCACATGTTTCTGATGATTTTAATTTCTCGATCTTTCAAAGGGTATTTGATACCCTCTTTCTTAAAATTAGAAAGAGCAAAAAGAAATGAAAATTACAGAATTTTGATATGGTATCGTCCCGATTCGTCGACAAATCGGACACTTCAGAGAATATGCATCAAAGAATTTCAAAGGCGGGAGGGGCGGTGTGAGAGTGAGTGTCGACGAATCGGGACTGAATCTTTGATACACATTAAAAAACAAATATGCTATAGAGATAAAAAATGTTCCTGATTTTTGTCAGTATCTAAACGTTAGAATATCGATGTTCTATGTTGAATAACTGAGCACTTAAATACGTACGAAACATTAATCCAGCACATTTTTGATTGAGAAAAGGTAAATATTCTGATAGTAATAAGTTTACAGAGGCTTCTCTTCTCCTTTTATGTACATGACTGCGTATCGAAAATATCATATTGATCACGCTGTAGTATCGATAATATCATATCTATTGTGATCAACGTCAATCAATGATGTTTCTCTGTTATCCTCACTAAAAGCTACTGCAAACGGAGGTAATATCGAGGTTGATGGTGGTTCAGCAACAAAATCGACAACCATTGCTGATCGATTAGTTTTATTGATCACATACAAGTATCTAAATGAGAAGAAAAATGAGCGTAAAAAAACTCTTAAGAGACTTTTTATACATACATGTTTAATACAAGCGGTATGACACAAAGACTTGCTGCTAACAGTACTGTAAAATTTCGAATATAAGCCACTGTATGACCGTAGACAAAGATAAAGAATGAATTACCAAAGACGGCAATAATCGTAGTAATTTCAGTGACGATAATTAATCCTTGAGTTGTTCGATGCGGTTCAAGCCATTCCAGCAACATATAGGAGGCTAATGATGCTTGATAACTTGTGAATGGTGTCAGAGCTAGACCTAAACATAAAGTCGTATTGAAAAATAACAGAACATATTAAAGAAGAAACTAACCAGCATATAATTGCCAACTATGTTTGGCAAAAGCTGTCCAAAATGCTGATAATAGAAAACACACGTTACTAACGATACACGTCATAATATCAGTTGAATTCAGCCATGTCAATATTTTCATGCCAATTATCGAAAATATACTTGTGGTAATAGCACTTACCGTACTATAAATGCCAATTTCTTTTGACATCCAACAGAAGGGTGCATTCTGTAGAAAATACAAGTATGGTACTGTTAATGAGAGAACTGCTAATAAAAAGAACAAATAGGATATCAAAGTTAGATAAATGCTAATGGTATTTTTGCGTTTAGTAATATGAGGAGGATCATTTATTAATCGTTTTGTTTCTTCATCAGTCGTTGTAAGTGATGGAGAACTTTCTTTGATGAGTACGAGTGAGAGAACAATTGTTATTAATTGTGCAGCTAATGCTAACCAAAAAAGTAATTTAAACCCATGGTTGACTATCCAAAAACCGCTGAGTAAATTAACTACAGCTGCTACCAAACCACATAAAGCCGCCAAACGAATAGACAGAAATCCTCTTTCACTTTCTAATGTTGTATCCATAATGATTAAACTTACAACTAATTGAGATATACCTGAACCGCCACCAAAGCCTTGTAAAAATGATGAAATAAACCAGATATACAAAGGAAGATTAAAATAAGCGAAAAGTAACCAGAAGCTAACTTGAATGACGTTGCCAAAGAAGGATATAACGAGAATAATTTTTTTTTGAAATTTTGTTGTGCATACGCCCAATATGTATGTCATTATCACTAATGGTATCCCATTGGCAATATTCATCCAAAATTGAAGATGAGCTGACTGAATTTGTGCCCATGTATGGGCATCCGATATTGGATCCGATTTAGAATGACATTCTTGTTGTGCATCGTGAAGTGTATTATTATGCGTGGAGTTATTAATATATATTAGGAAAAAATAGCGAAAGATATATTGAGGTACCGTAGCATATAAACATACTGCTATAGTTTGAATAGACAAGATAAGTTCAAGAGTATAACGCATTTTATATAATATTAAACTGAAGCTTGAATTCGCGCAAAGTTACCCATAAACTGCACCTTTTCATTCTGAGTGCATTCAACCATAACGAAACAAACACGTTTACATGCGCTGCTTTTTTTTAAGAAATATGATAAGCAAAACAGCTGACGTAATTGATTAGCGTTAGGGAACATAAGTCACTTTTTCCTTCGGAACATCACTGAACCAATCAGAAGCTCTGCTATCAACTTTTTTTTAGAAAACAAAAAACAAAAATGAAAGTTGGTGATTCATGCAATATTGTAACTCCGTTCATTATTTTGTATCTCCCTGCCATCTAATGTTTTTTGGTCTCCAAAGCAATATATGATACGAAAACGTCGTCTGCTGAACTAACTTGAGTCTCGTGGAAAAAAACAAAAGTTCTTAATCTGTATTGTCGAAAATGTTTATTCAAGGAAAGAACTAATTCTCCCAGTAATTAATGTGCAGACCATTCATACACTTTGAATGAAATATATTAAAACGTGATTCAACTAGTATACTGCATTGTAATCTTCGTTTGTCGAAAAAATATCGAAAACTTAGTAAAATCGTATTTTAGGCAACATAACTCATTTTTTGGCTATTTACACGAAAAGTTAAAAAATTGATAGCTCATTTAAAATCTTATATTTTATACATCCCACCTTAATTGGGCACCGTGTATCGATTGAAAAAGTAGCCCTGATAAGGAACAAGCGAAAAGAGCCATTACCGAATTGAAACTGCTTCGTGAGCCTATCGATACCTATAAAGCTCACTTACGAGGGAACATTCCCAGGTGCCGGAATCCGATTTCGTCCGTTCATGTGCCAATCGATAGGTCCTATTGAGGTGTGAAAAAGCCTCAAACGATATCTGCCCGATTTGCTTCCTTCCAAAGTTACACCCGTTTTTCTGTTTTTCCCAGCGAAAAACGCACTACATTGAAAAATTCATAACTCAGTCAGTTTTTTCAATATCCGCTTG